GGAGGCTTAAGCTATGTGGGAACTCATACTATGTGCGGATGGTGACTGCCACCCACAGCCATTCGCAAACCGGAGTGGCCAGAATTTAAGCTCTCATACAACTTCTCCAACAGAAAAGGAACCATTTCTTTACTGTGCCGCGGAACAGCAAAATTGAATCCTAGTTGCTGGAGAACAACTCCACGCCCTCCTTTTTCACATCTGTGTAGTACTTCCCTGCCGCTCAGCCACCTTCCTGTGGATAGGGATTTGGACCGTCTCCGCCGCTTCGCAATTCCAAGCCACAGGTCAATGAATGTTGCTGCTGCTGCTGTTGTCATGAGGTGCCACCCAGTCGCTTGGACGCCCAGCAACCCCACGTACTGCAGAATGAGACCTGCCCCCATCCTGCGCCATTTGCCACGTTTGAGCCCACTGTTGGCAGCCAGTGTCCATCCGTCTCCTAGCGCACCGGCTGGCTCTCCCCTTCCTCATGCCGTGACCCTCTAATACAGTTCCTCATGTGGTGGTGACCCCCACCCATCAAATTATTTTCACTGCTACTTCATCACTGTCATTTTGCTACGGTTATGAGTCATCATGTAAATATCTGATAGGCAGGATGTATGTTCATTGTTGCAAGTCGAGCATCATGAAAGCAGAATGGAGAATCACAGAAACAATATGTCATTCTATATTGTGAAATATTTCTAATGACAAATAAATGAAATTTTGTCTTCAGGCATGGTGTAGCATGGGTAACCATCTTAAGACACCAGTAAACTCCATGACTACATTTTGCGACAGTAGGCGTAAAAAGCCAATGGCGTGTGAAGGTTGAGATCTTTCTTTCTCACTAGATCGGCATGTCTGCATGTAGGCCGACCCGCCTGGAGATGGATAGAATGGTGTCTTGGTTCCTAAGATCATCGGAACTATGTGTTTTCTGATGGTCTTAGGTGGCCCCCGGGAAAAGGGCGTTCGAGCCCCCAAAGGAGCCATGACCCACAGGTTGAGAACCGCTGTCCTAGAGGGTCTTCCTCTTTTTTGCTGCCCCTCCTCTTTGCCAGGCATAATGCCCTTCTCCATGGACTGGTCTCCCTGACAACATGCCCAAAGGAGGTGAGACGGTCTTGCCATGCGCACTTCTTTTCTTTAAAATCATTCTTTTGGGGGCTCCTGCAGCTCCTTATCACAATCCATCCATACATGCCTTGTGCCAAGCACATTTGTACAGATGCTGCCATCGTCATTTTCAAAACATGTTCTTTCTACTTAAGCCCTTAGTATCAGCTCATTTCCCCCTCCCTTCCAGCCCTCCCTCCCTCAAGAACCCTTGATAATTTATAAATTATTGCTTTTTTTCATGTCTTACCCCAACGGTGACTCCCCTCACCCACTTTCATGTTGTCTGTCCCCCTGAGGGGGTGTGTTATATGTAGATCATTGTGATCGGTTCCCCTTTTCTACCCCCAC